TGACAGCTGCAACCAAAAAATAGCCGGGCGTTGTGGCAGGCACCTGTAGTCCCAGCTACTTGGGAGGCAGAGGCAGAAGAATCACTTGAGCCCAAGAGTTGGAGGTTGCTGTGAGCTGTGATGCTACAGTACTCTGCCCAGGGTGACAGCTTGAGGCTCTGTCTCAAAAAAAACAAAAAAAGAAATTGGAGCATAGTGTTTCAGATAAGGAACAAGATAAATGTGGTTTATTTTCTGCTTAGAGGTCTGATAACATATTATCTTCTGTAAAATGCTTTTATATCTATTATACTAATTTATGAGAAAAAAAAATTTCTGGGCTCGGCTCCTGTGGCTCAAGTGGCTAAGGCGCCAGCCACGTACACCTAAGGTGGTGGGTTCGAATCCAGCCCCGGCCCACCAAAAACAACGATGGCTGCAACCAAAAAAAAAAAATGGCCGGGCGTTGTGGCGGGCGCCTGTGGTCCCAGCTACTTGGGAGGTGGAGGCAGGAGACTCACTTGAGCCCAGGAGTTGGAGGTTGCTGTGAAACATGCCACAGCACTCTACCCAGGGGGACAGCTTTAGGCTCTGTCTCAAAAAAAAAAAAAATTTCTGTCTTGAAAACATACAGTAATCAAAGCTAATTTTAATATTTACTCCACTAAATTTACAAGTGAAATAACAAATATTGCATGAAGTACTGGAGTTCTTTATGTTCTAATGTTTTAAACGAGAATTTTTGTTGGAAAATGCATAGAATCCAATCTATGATTGACTCAACCAAGCACAAAAGTATCTACAACCTTTCGATCTGACCTTTTTGGGTTTTCCTCCCCATTTTCCTAATAGTCTTTATTTTCATGTACGTAAACATAAGGTATGCCAACTGCCATATATTACAACTTCTATACATCTATTTTTTTCTTCTCAGTCTAAAGAACTCCAAATAAAAAAGCAGTTTCAGGACACCTGCAAAATCCAAACCAGACAGTACAAAGCATTAAGGAATCACCTGCTGGAGACTACACCAAAGAGTGAGCACAAAGCTGTTCTGAAACGGCTAAAAGAAGAACAGACCCGGAAGTTAGCCATCTTGGCTGAACAGTATGATCACAGCATTAATGAAATGCTCTCCACACAAGCCGTAAGTTCCCTTTGTTCAGGCAAAACAAATTTACAGGCCCCTTTTTTCCAGTCACCTGAATGAAATCCCAGCAGTTAAAATATTAGTTGGAAATGATATTCTCCTGCAGCTTGGGAAATAGTGGTGGTAGTTTATAGTCTTCACACTCTATTGTTTGAAAATGTCATGATGCAGCTCGGTGCCCCATAGCACAGTGATTACCTCACTAGCCACATACACCAAAGTTGGTGGGTTTGAACCCAGGCCAACTAACCAACAGTGATAACTGCAACAAAAAATAGCCAGGCGTTGAGCCCAAGAGTTAGAGGTTGCTGTGAGCTATAATGCCACAGCACTCTACCCCAGGTGACATAGTGAGACTCTGTCTCTTTCTTTTTAAGAGACAGAGTTTCACTTTGTTGCCCTTGGTAGAGTTCTGTGGCATCACAGCTCACAACAACCTTTCAGCTCCTGGGCTTAGGAGATTCTCTTGCCTCAGCTTCTCAAGTAGCTGGGACTACGGGTGCCTGCCAAAACACCCGCCTATTTTTTTGTTGCAGTTTGACTGGGGCCAGGTTCAAACCCACCGCCCTCAGTATATAGGGCTGGCACTCTACTCACTGAGCCACAGGTGCCTCCCTAGACTCTGTCTCTTTTAAAAAAAAAAAAAGGCCAGGCATGGTAGCTCATGCCTGTATTCCTGTTGTTCTGGGAGATCGAGGTAGGTGGATTGCCCTGAGCTCAGAGGTATGAGACCAGCCTGAGCCAGAGTGAGGCCCCATCTCTACCAAAAAGAAAAAAGCTGGGCATTGTGGCAGCCGCCTGTAGTCCCAGTTACTTGGGAGGCTTAAGCCCAAGAGTTAGAGGTTACTGTGAACTGTGATGCCACAACCCTCTACCAAGGGCCACAAAGTAAGACTCTGTCTCAATATAAATAAATAGGGGAAAAAGGATAATTTTAAAAAGAAAACTTTGACTCAGCACCCATACTACAGTGGTTATGGTGCCATCCACATACACTGAGGGTGGTGGGTTTGAACCCAGCCCGGGCCTGCAATGACAACTGCAGTGGAAAAACAGCTGGACGCTGTGGCAGGCTCCTGTAGTCCCAGCTAGTTGGGAGGCTGAGGTAAGAGAATCACTTAAGCCCAAGAGTTGGAGGTTGCTATGAGCTGTGACGCTAGGGCACTCTACTGAGGCCAAAATAGTGAGACTCTGTCTCAAAAAAAACAAAAAAAAAAAACCCAAAGCTTCAAACTAAGACAATTGAAAGCAAAATTTAAAAAAGAAAAAAGAAAATGTCATGATGCTTATAGAATTCTCAATGATACATTTAAACATGAGGTTCTAAATAGGCTTCCCGCCAACACAGATCACAACAGCTTATTGAGATCAGAGGATCAGCTTTGGTAAACAGTAGGCAAAAAGTAGCACTACATTGGGAATCTAAATGGTCACATTTTAGTGTAAGTACAAAATATTTTCCCTAAAAGAGCTTTGTAAACTTTTTCTTAAAGAACCAGATGGTATTTTGGGCTTTGCAGGCTGGGAAGCAAAATTAAGGATATTATGAGGTAGTTATGTAACTACTCCTAACTTAATTTTTTTTTTTTTTTTTTTTTGAGACCAAGCCTCAAGCTATCCCCCTGGGTAGAGTGCCATGGCATCATGCTCACAGCAACCTCCAACTCCTGGGCTCAAGCAAGTCTCCTGCCTCAGCCTCCCAAGCAGCTGGGACTACAGGCGCCCGCCACAACGCCTGGCCATTTTTTGGTTGCAGCCATTATTGTTGTTTGGCAGGCCCAGGCTGGGGATTCGAACCCACCACCTTAGGTGTATGTGGCTGGCGCCTTAGCCACTTGAGCCACAGGCGCCGAGCCCCTAACTTAATTTAAAATGTAACCATTTCAAGGCCAGGTGCAGTGGCTCACTGCTGTAATTCTAGCACTTTGAGAGGCTAAAGTAGGATCACTTGTGGCCAGGAGTTTGAGACCAGCTGGGGTAATACTGAGACATCATCTCTACAAAAAATAGAAAATTAGCTAGGCATGATGTTATGTAGCTGCTTGAGAGGCTGAAGCAAGAAAATCACTTGAACCTAAAAGTTTGAGGTGGCAGTGAGCAACAGAGGGAGATCTTGTCTCAAAAATAAAGTTAAAAAAATAAATAAATCGCACATAACTATCTCAGAATGAAAAAACTATCTCAGATAGAGTGGGCTGTAGAAAAAACAAGACAAAACAGGCAGCCATCCAGATTGGGCTTGTAAGCTATAGTTTGCTGGTCTCTGTTCCATAGTTATTTCCATAGGAAGGAAGAGATTCAGAGTTTTATAACACCTAATTGACTCTACATTTTTCATGAGAAAAATGTGGCTATTTAAGCATTCTCCACATAACTTGTGATATGTTTACCTTTTAATGCTATTATTGGTTATTGTGCCTTTCTTGTTCAGAGATTTACTACAGGATACAAGAGAGAATAATTATGTAACCTATAAAACAGTAGTCTATCTTTCTTCACTCATCCTCTTTTCCATGGGTCATGAAAAGGTAGCTCACACTAAGATGTATATGTTTTCTTTTTCTCTTAGCTGCGTTTGGATGAAGCACAGGAAGCAGAATGCCAGGTTTTAAAGATGCAGCTGCAGCAGGAACTGGAGCTGTTGAATGCATATCAGAGCAAAATCAAGATGCAAGCTGAGGCACAACATGATCGAGAGCTTCGGGAGCTTGAACAGAGGGTCTCCCTCCGCAGGGCCCTCTTAGAACAAAAGGTATAAATAATAAAAGGAAGATGATTTTTCTTGTATTTGCTTTTAGCAAAAGCATTTTATTATATAAATATATTTTCATATTGACAGAGGTTATATTAAGTCAGTGGTTCTCAACCTGTGAGTCACAACCCCTTTATAACAATGAAAATACATCCTGGCATTAGGAAGATGGAGAACCACTGTATTAAGTGATATAATTCCAATTGTGATAATAGTATTTTTCTTTTAAAATTGTTGATTCACTAATGACATTTACAATTAATGAGTTCCAAAAATCAAGGGAATAGGCTCAGTGCCTGTGGCTCAAGCAGCTAATGCGCCAGCCACATACACCTGAGCTGGTAGGTTTGAATCCAGCCCAGGCCTGCCAAACAACAATGATGGCTGCAAC